GAGTATGGAGTGTGATTAAAGTTCAAGAATGAGTTCAATTTATTTCCATAAAAATGGTTGATAAGAACATATCATTGCTTTTCTTCTTCCTCGCTTATGATCTTCACTGGTGATGATTGTGTGGGCTAAACTGCAATTATTGTTATTTGTTGGGGATTAAAACGTCAAGAACATGTTTCTTCTTTGTTCATGTCTTTTAACTCCTTATTATTAATTATTTATTTATTTTTATCTTTTTTCTTTGTGTGTGTGATTAGTGGCAAATAATCTGAGTATTCCCCCCAGAGTAGGGGAAACTGCATACTGAACTCTGTAATTGGCGCATTTCCCTCCACGTGTAATTTTTTTTTTTATTGGTTTTTAATTTTTAAAGCTTATTATTATATTTATATATATACACGTGGATTTGTTAAATGGGGAAATATGCAATACCCCTCAAATGGAAAATATTATGAGTAAAACCCAATTGACTTTTAAGACTTTTGCACAAACCCACATCTATTAGTGAAACCCCCTCAATTAAACATAATAAGACATAAGTACCCTTATTAATAGTTTTTTATAATAAATCAAATATTCAATCACGATATCTTTCCATAACCGTTTCCCTTTATTATAGGCGGACGTGATTCTCTTTGATATTCAGACGTGAGTTCAGCCGAGATTAGGAGAGAATAGAGATTTCATCGCCGTTCAACCATTCTTTGTTCGTTGCCGGAGTTAAACTGCGTTTGAAGGTTAGAGATTCTTCTTTATTTTTGTTGGTTTTCGTAAATGGGAAACTGCGTTTGAAGGTTAGAGGTGCTGCTTGATTTTTGTTGGTTTTCGTAAAGGGGGCTGGGCTGTAGTGTGTGTATTCAGATATGTGTGTATGTAGAACCGAATTTTATTGTTTATTTTTTGGGTCGTCTTAATTGGTGTAAAGGATTGTTACTGATTCAAAATTTTATTCTGTTTTACACAGAGTCACGTTGTGACTACTCTGTAAATTAGTTGTTCGTTTTTGTGGTAGTTGATATGCTAGTGTAATTTATTGTAATTTGTTTTTTGCGTTACTTGATATGTTAGTGTAAGTTTCAATGTGTTTGTTGTGGTCGAATTGAATTCGGATAATATTATGTGATTTGCATTTACAGAGTAGTGCAGATTTACTCATCAGAAGTAGTCACATAGTAGTCACATTCTGAAAACTTTTTTGTGTAGTGCTGCACAGCATGTCGTCAACCTTGATGATTGTGTTGAAGTATGGAGGCTCGTTTGGGGTGAAGATATGTCAGGATGATTTTGTATATGAAGACCTCATTGGCTTTGTCACCGATAAGTGGTGCAGTTTGAATGCGAGGGATGTATCGATGACTTACAACGTTGATGGATATGGCGAGGGTATGCTTGGCGATAATGACGAGGTTTTGTTTATGAAAGCGTTGATTCGACAACTAGGTCTTGGCCGTGTCGAGGTAACCGTAAAGCGCAAAGACAACGTCTGTGCAGTAGCGTCGGCGAGGGCCCCGCAATCTACTACACAGAACTTTGGGGGGAATTATCTGATGAATGACATGGCGATTCAGTCATAGTCACATAGCAGTCATATTGCCTATGTATTGTTCAGCCTATTAATTTGCTCACCGTAGTTGCATAACAGTCATATATGCTCATTCATCTGTTATTCAAAATGTATTCAACTAATAGTCACATTCGCGCTGGGGTTTTGGTTATGTAAAGTAATTTTCCTTATATTGTATGTTGTTTCCTACTTTCATGTTCTAATGACTTATAAACATAGTCATGTAGTAGTCATATTCTTCACAGTATTTTAATAATTGTGATATATATGCTAATTCCACTGCTATGCACAACATAGTTACAAGATTGTCATATTTTCTCACTGCATGTACAGTTTACTAAACATAGTCATGTTTACATTCTATAGTAATATGATTGCTTTGTAAATTATTATTTGTCTGAACAATAATTAAATGTCAATACTAAGATCATCGGAAATAATAAACATTGCTTAATAATGTATAGAAAGACCCCAAAAAAAAAAAAAAAAAAAAAACCCAAATCATGTTCTGAGCGACTTCCCACCAAGTGAGTATGTCCGCGTTGCTTTGTCGTATGTCCACAGGATTGTTAGGGCTGTAATTTGAGACCCAATCACATTATCTTTTGTGATCTTGTGCTTTGCAAACGGGAGTACGAAGTTGTAGAAGGGTGTACGCCGTAAGCATTCGTAATGTGTTGTTTCAAGAGTTAGTACATCCTCGAAGAATGAAACAATTGACTTCAAACCCCCTCTGAATTGTGAGGTCCACGTACCATGGTCAAGCACTCGACGTGCCATTTTTCGAGTTTCATCTGTAAAATTTAAATTTTCTGTGAGTTACACACTAATCAATAATATGCATGACTACATATGTTCATCAATAATTTTACTTGTTTGGAGTAATGTAACACACATGAAGCCATAAACAAATCATTCTACCAATATGACTACATAACACTACTAAAGCATTACACCATTGCATTACAGGGTTTTATTACATGATCAAACCAGATCACTTTCCCACTGAAAAAGGTAAAAATTCACACCATGCTAATGCTGATTGAAAGAGAGGATTTTGTACCAAATCTCTTCGATTTTGGAATATGACTACAGAACATTACTAAAGTATTACACCATTGCAATTACAGGGTTTTATTACATGATCAAACCGGAACACTTTCCCACTGAAAAAGTTAAAAATTCACACCATGCTAATGCTGATTGGAAGAGCGGATTTTGTACCAAATATCTTCGACCTTGGAATATGACTACAGAACATTATAAAGCATTACACCATTGTAATTACAAGATTTTATTACATGATCAAACCATGTCAAATTCCCACTGAAAAAGTTAAAAAATCATACCATGCTAATGTGGTAATGTGGTTTCATAGATACATAACTAGATATTCAGGCCTAGTCACGTATAGTCATGATGGTATTTTGGTTATTTAACTACATAATCAGAAACAGTATCATAATTAACAGTTTACCAACTCAGTTAACATTATCATCTATATCAGTGGAGGTCATTAAACACTAGGCTACAACATGACTCCACATGACTAGACCACAAACAACTATTGCTGGGATTTAATACATCAATGCATACAAAACAGGTTAAACTGGAACGGACATCAAACATGACTGCTGCCCCAAAAACTTTGTTTATACAAAGGTAAATCCACTATAAAACAACAAAATTGATCTAATTTGCATCAACATGCAGTCATGTACAAGTCTTCATATCAACATGACTACATAAAAATACTATAACAATACACCAATTTAGTTACACATTGTTATAACACAATCAAACCAGAGCATATTTCTACTGCAAAAGTTAACAATTAATATCAATATTATCAGTGGTTGTAACTGCAATTTGAGCATATGTTCATAATATTACGATTCAATAAAATCGGAACAACCATGAATTCAATGTCTATGTAATATAGTCACATATAGTCATGATGGTAATATAAATGCAACACCCAGAAAGTCTGTGTATGCAACCATAAATCACCCCCCAAAAACACCTAAAGTGAAATTAAATTGGATCTACGGGCAAAAAAAAAATATTTTTTGGAATTTCCAGTTTGTACAAAAAATGATTTGCAAATAAATAAGAATTAGGTGGACAAACTTACCGGCATCAAGATGCATAATGTCATGAGGATTGGGTCTTCGTTTACGCTTCTGTGACGCTTTCTTCTTCATTTCAGAATCCAGATTCGATTGTGACTACGCAACTCAACTTTACTGGCTTATGACTACCAAACATAACTACTGCAAAATACGGCTATTAATGGGTAAAGTGTGTGGACGATTTTGTACCAAATATATTCGATTTTTGAATGTGACTGCAGATTGGAAGAGAGGATTTCGATTTTTTTGACGGTTTTGATTTGGGGGAAAACCAGATCTCTGTGTGTTATTGAAGACGATGATGCGGTTTTTTTTTTTTAATTGTTCTAGTTAGGAGCAGTTTTATTAGGGAAAGTAAATAATTAAACCTAATTAGTAGGATTAGGTGCCTAATTAATAGGGATTTGAAAATATTGGATAAATATAAAAAAATAAACGTGACTTACTAGAAGGGTAAAAATGGAATTAAATATTCTAGAGGGTTTCCACAAAGAAAGAATTATGTATGGGTTTATCACTAGTTTTTATCTATAAGAGGGGTGTATTGCTAATGACCCCTTGTTAAATATGTATCAATGGATGCACTGGTAAAAGAAATATAACTCCCAGGTTATGTTAAACACCCAATATAATTTGATGATGCATGAAATTTGAGAAAAATATATTTTTCATCCATCAAGTTTGCACAAATTTCATATTTGACCCCTCATATTTACAAAAAAAACATTTGCTTCCTCATGTTTCAAAAATGCGAAGTCATTTCCGTCAATTTCTCATTAAAACTAACGGAATCAAGCGTGTGTCCATCGCTACCTTAACTGATGGTCTAAAGGTAAATTGACAGAAATGATCAAAAGTGTTCAATTATTGAAACACGATCAAATATGTTTTTTGTGAACATTGGGGACCAAATATGAAACCGGTGCAAACTTGAGGGATGAAAACTATAATTTTCCTCATGAAATTTCATATTAAAGACCTATTTAAGCAATAACAATAATAATATTAATAAGGGAAATTTATTGTTTTCATCCCTCAAGTTTGCAAAAATTTCATATTCGGTCCCTCATGTTTACAAAAAAACATATTTGGTCCCTCAAGTTTCAATAATTTGAGATTTTTGGTCATTTCCATCAATTTACCCTTAGTCCAGCAGTTACAGTAGTGTTGGACACATGTTTGATTCCATTAGTTTTAATAGAAAATTGACGGAAATAACTAGAAGCATTGATTTTTTGAAATATGAGGGACCAAATGTTTTTTTTTTGTGAACATGGGGGACCACATGTGAAATCGATTCAAACTTAGGGGATGAAAATTGTATTTTTCCCATATTAATAACCATAATAGTAATATGTGAAATAAATCCATGACTTGCAACTCTTTACTAATTACAAATTCTGTGAGCTCAACTCTTCCAAGAGAGCATTTCACTACAACATATTCTCTTCAAAAGCTCTCAAATCAAATCTTAAAGATTTGATCCCAAAATTTTTTTAAAAAGAAAAAAAAAAAAAAAAAAAAAAAAAAAATAACCTAAATGATCCATCCTATTGTGCCCAAAAATCAAACGATACTCGATGAAACGCTTCTCGTTTTTGATTAAAAAAAGAAACGGCGATCAAGAACCCGAAAGGGTGTACTCTAATTCATTACTCTGCACTTCATTTTGTTCGAAGAAAGGAAGAGTGCCCGGATTTCTTTCCTCCAAAACGAGACTCGTGGGAGTTTGCGGTGGATAATTATCGATAATAAAATCAATTTCATCCCCGTTAATCTCTTTTTGATCAATAAGAACCTAACATTATCCGAAATAGTAACTTTTAAGTTTCTGATCAAGAAAATTTTATTATTTATAATTATAAAAAAAATCATTATTCGAAAAAAACCATACCTTGACAGTCTTGAGTAAAGCAGCATTGTGTTGCCTCAGAAGAGAAACTGTTTTTTCGTACATTTCATGCATCAATTTTTCCGTCCTCTTTGCAATATCATCATCTAATTTGAAATTGACCGGTGGCTCGATTAAATCGTAGTCATCGTAAAGCGAACCCTCAAAGTCAATCTTCGGACCAACAAATTTAGGTCTTTTTCTCCATGGTGGGGGTTCACCGTGGACTACCATGGGGTTCTCCATATTCCATCTATCGTACATGATAAAACGAAATTAATTTAATAAAATAAATAATAGTAATAATAATAAATGTAGAAAAAGATGAAAAACATACATTGAAATAATTTTTCGAGCGAGCCACGAGGCATCGGCTAGATAATCGACCGATGCTCTTGAAGTATCCCGTCCGAAAATAACCTCTTCGGCAGCTCTGCCTCCAAGTAATACCTTCGTTAAATAAAATAATAATAATTGAATACCTTTATTTGAGTGCATACTGAAAAATACGGACGAAAATAGCTTTAAAAACTCCAAATATCAAACCTGGAGACGGTGTAACAACTGAGGCCTTCGCTCAAACACGTACGACTCATCATCAAAACGGTGAAACACGACTTGCGAGAGTGTCTGCACGAAAAAATTCTTAATTCATTAAGGTCTCATTTGGTTGGGGGAGATTAGCCATGATTTATTAAAAAAACTGAACTTCGTTAAATGTTTGGTAAACCCAATGATTTTCCGGGTCGACCCGGAAAATCATTATTTTATCATGGTCTATCACGTATTTTAGGGAGATTATTTATCAGACCTCCTACGGTCCAATAAATACAATTGGGTTTTTCATTAGATTATTTTAATTTTAACTTATGAACCAAACGAGGCCTAAGATATACCAAAGAAACTAAAAGGGGAGAAAAAAAGAAAACCTGTCCACGTGGATGAATCGATACACGATCACAAAGCTCGACATTCGCATTCTCGATCCGCCTAAGCAAATGAGAAGTCAAAGCGGTCCCTACTTCTACGGTAGCTCTCCGGAGTTGACCTTGATGACCTAAGTCAACCCCCACACGCTTGGGGCCCACAGTGAGACGGTCAACCGCATCGTCCAAATCCGAGTGAAGAATAGCAGAGTGGCCTTTTCTGACCGCCACAAGAGCAGCTTCTTGGAGAAGCTGCGCCAGCTTGGCACCCGTCCATCCTAATTTCCCATTATTAAATATTAATCTTTTAATTCGACATTTTTTTATAAAAATTTGTCGAAAAAAATTAAAACTCTAAAATGCACACCTGGCAAGTTGTTTGCGTAACTAGACAAATCGACGGTATCGGACAATTTCACCTTCCGTGCGTGAACTTTCAAAATGTCCAATCTACCCTTTGCATTTGGAGGTTGGATTCTTATCTAGAGATAATTAACAATTAGTAAACATTCCAAAGAATTTCTGAATTTCTGAATTTCTGATAATTTAATATTTTAATTACTAAATGTACCTTTCGATCGAACCGACCAGGGCGGAGAAGGGCAGGATCGAGCAAATCTCTTCGATTAGTGGCACCCAAGAATATGACACCTTTGCCTGTATCGAATCCGTCTAGTTCGATTAAGAGCTGGTTCAATGTAGTCTCTCTTTCTTGAGTTGCCGCATTGTAAAGAAGATCCGTAGATTCTTTGAATATTCCTTGTCGTCTGTATACCAATCGAAAGAGTTGACTAAAACCACACAAAAAAATACTTCAATCGAAAACTTGCTAGAACCACCATACCTTGTCGCAAGTGCATCAATTTCGTCGATAAAAATGACAGATGGTTTGTTTACCTATAAAATAAAATAAAATAGAACTTATATTTCGTTTCTATGATCCGGAAAAAAAAAACATCAGAATAGAGTTTCGGATACCTTTGCTCTCTTGAACAAATCTCTGACACGAGCAGAACCGACACCAACTAACACTTCAACGAATTCCGAACCAGCCATTTGATAAAACGGAACACCTGCTTCACCAGCTATGGCTTTTGCAACGAGGGTCTGGTGATTTATCGTTTGACTTAATAAATTATTGCAGATTTTTTTTGTAATTAATGCGACTAATTACCGTTTATTCCCACTAACCTTGCCACATCCCGGAGGACCCTCGAGAAGAACTCCGTGAGGAGGCTTTATTCCCATTTTGTCGAACAGTTCCGGATTCTTCAAGTACTTTACCAACTATTTAGCAGCACCAAAACAAAAATCGAAAAAAAAACAAATTAAAATAATTCCACGTGTAGTAACAATTTAAGATAATAAAGACATATCACTCTTTTGGCCTAAGAAAAATTCATTGTGTAAACGAATCGGTGATCCAAAAACGGGCTGAAATTTTGGCTAACATCGAAGTTAAGAAAATAAGTTTCGATCAATTGAAGACGTAGAAATCGTTAAATCCGTCTCGTATTTATGTTTAAAAACAAGAATTTATGTTGTTGTTTTTTTTCTTTAATTTCTCTACCTCTTGGAGCTCTTCGACAGCTCCCTCGATCCCGGCAACATCGTTAAACATGACGCCAGTAGAACCCTGAAGAATAGGTCGTCACTCAATACGTTAAAAAGGAAAAACACACGATTAATTTAGCGGAAAAAAAAAAGAACGAGTACAAGTTGAAACTAACATCAACACGTGCTTGTGGCTTCGACTGAGAAAACTCAATCCCTTGCCATATATCCTGCATGAAGCAACAATTGTAAGGGTATAATGGTCATAAAGAAAAGGTTCGCCACACGAGATAAATAAATACACAAGGGCCACGCTCACCCATTTTCTGAAATTCTTAGGTCTTCTAGAAAGTGTAAAACGAACAAGAAGCACCATGGTCAAAAACACCAGCATGATCGGCTTCAGCATTTCGATACTGGCAGAAACCCCACCGTAGGTATAAAGTTCGTATAATTTCGAAGGTATTCCTCCATCACCCAATAGTTCACCAAGATTATCCCATACTTTTTCGAGAATGCCAAACGTAAGGCCTAAAAATAGCTTGAGAAATGGCTTGGCCACAGGCCATACGACATACGCAGTGACGGCGAAAACGAAGCTCGTGGCGGCAAAAACCGCCGACGCCAAAAAGCCTCCGACCACAACTGCCGCTGCAGCCATGGCGGCGGTTAGCACTCCGAGTTCAACCATCATTCTGCTCGATATCTTGGATGCTATTGGATGAGGGTATTCTGGTACTTTTCCTACAAAGGACTACAAGAAAAAACGATAGAGCTGTAAGTAAATATGCAATATTCCAAAAGGGATAACAAAAAGTTTGAATATAAAGTCGAGCTAAAGGCCTATCGAAATCACACTCTACTTACACACCATTTCACAAAACAACTTTTTAATCATTCTTTACATGATTTTATTACATTATTCTCTTACATTCGTTTGTTTAGTTAGCGAAAAAATATCATCGAAGAACACAATATAACGAATATTTATACCATCATTTGCTTCTCTATTTCATTCCTCGGACCCTTGTACACCTCCCAAAGATCCTGCACTTGCTCCTCGTCAAGTCGCATTGCCCTAATAACAAAAAATCACGAAAAACGTGAAGGACACTACACAAAGAAAGATCGAACGCAAAGTATCAATAACATTTTCACACACACACACACACACGCACCATTTAGTTCTGTGCAAGCTCTTGTCGCCGGGTATATCTTTCAAATCAACGAGAAAATCCCGGTACCCATAGTTACCATACGAAACCCCACCATCCTCCTTAAACGTCACCAGCTTTACAGTATCGCTCTTTACGTATTTCCGAAAATCATCGTAGTTCATTCTCGGCAACTCATTCGCGTTCTTGCGGAACTCCTCTTCTTCGGATAAATTAGCACCGAAAACTTGCTCGGGTACGTAAAGCTTCCCTTTGTACTCCCTCAACAAATCATTCAAATACACCTCCCCTTCGGATTTCGCGAAATTACCATCGTCGCCACTCTCCTTACCGCCGCCTTTCGACACCACTTCCTTCAAATTCAACCTCTTTAATATACCTGCAACCCTCTCATTCAAACCCTTTTTCCCCAAATTCTCCTTCTCCTTCAATGTGTACAGTTTGTTACCGACCAAATACTTTGGTTCGATTTGGCTAGGGTTTTCCCTCAAAACCTTGGTCACGAAATCCTCATCTCCGGCGCCGGAATTTACTGATGGCTTTGGATTTGAAGCGGCTCTCGGCAAAAGAAGAACACGTGGGCGGCTACGGGGTTGCGATTTCTTGGTGGGTTTGAGAGAGAAGTGCCAATTCTTTTGTGTTCTTTGATTTGGGGGGAAATTGATTAAGGGTTTAGCAAATCCCAGTGGTGTCGAATACATTGTTGAGCTGAAACTATACTGAAATTAGGGTTTTGGGCATTCTTAATTTGGGGGCGAAATCTCAGAATTTCATTAGGATAAAAAAAATAGAGTTCGTCGGAAAATAAACACCGACCGGTCGGAGTGTACGAGAGGGGACTGTGTGTAGGATAAACTTGGGAGGGGAAATTTGGGGAAATTGTAATTTTGGTCCTATATATTTTTGTCCCCTCATAAAATTAAAAAAAAAAAAGGGGCTTGCTATTATCAGTGCGATTTTTTCCAGCTACAGTGCGAAATAATTCATTTGTCAAAAAATACTTTAATCTTTTACAAAATCCTCTCAACCTCCAAATATTTCGACTTTCATAGATCGTGATTTGTTTTCGTAGAAATCAGTTAAAACCCAACGATTATCAAGATGGCCAACATCGATCCCGTAAATGAGGTAAAAAAATACGTTTTAGTGTGATTTTTTTCGATTTTCAGTCGTTTCGTGTAGAATATCACGAAATTATTCAAGTCATTTCGTGGTGTTTTGCACGAAATGAACACTTTATTCGTGTTTTCCAGTCATTTCGTGTACAATACTACGAAATTATACCTATTATTTCGTGTAAAGTCACACGAAATAGCAGTAAAACTGTTTTGTTATTCATTTCGTGCAGTACTACACGAAATGTATACATATATTTCGTGTAATTGTACACGAAATACCTAGTATGGTTATTAAATTTTTTTGTGCAAGTATCTAACCTTTTTTTTGTATTTACGCAGCCATATGACGACAATTTGTATTTTGATCCCTCGGTTTTGGATCAAAATGAATATGAAGATTTCTCTCACTTCTTCCAAGTTGATATTGTGTTCGGCAGTAGGGAAGAATTAATCAACTGGGCGAAAGCAACTGCAGTTAGTCATTGTCACCGTTTGATTTGTCAGTCTAGAAGGGAGAATGCACAGTACATGACGTGTGACAAATACGGACATGGCCGACAAACGAATATCGATATGGAAGATCCTAGAAACACAGGAACAAAAAAATGTGGTTGTCCGTTCAAATTGATTGGCAAAAGGTCAAGGTTTGATGAATTATGGCGGTTGACTGTCAGCGATGGCAGACATAGTCATCGTCCGGCTTTGTTTCCTCACGGACAAGGTACGACTAGTCGTATAACTTCACAACAGAAAGCAAGAATTAAAGAATTGCGAAATTCTCACGTGAAGCCAATGTTGATCATGGATAGACTGAGGAAAGATGATCCGACGATACAAACATCTATGAAGCATGTTTACAATGAGTTGGCCAAGATTAAATCTGAGAAAATGGAGGGCATGACTGTTATTCAGTTTATGATGCATAACTTTCAAAAAGGCGAGTATCGATATTGGCATCGGGTCGATAGTGAAACGAGCAACACGATTACAGATATGATGTTTGCATGTCCCGAATCTATTAAGTTATTACGGCTGTTCCCGTATGTTATATTGATGGACTGCACATACAAAACCAATAAGTAAGTAAAAATTACGATTGTTTAAATTATGATTATTGTGTTTTAATGTCTTGTATTGTTTAAATAAGTAAAAACAACATTGTTGTAGGTATGGAATGCCTCTTTTGGAAATAATTGGGATAACTCCAGTTGGGAGGAATTTTACAATTGCTGTTGCATTTATGTCGCATGAAGATGCAGACACCTACGAGTGGACTTTGAATTGTTTGAAAGAGTTGCTAGATGGTGTCGAACCTGATGCGATCTTGACAGACAGAGAGTTGGGTCTTTTGAAAGCACTGCAAAATGTCTTCCCATTTTCGTATCATATGTTGTGTATATTCTATATAAACAGAAATGTTGAGGCAAATGCGACGAAATTTATGGGAGGCAACAAGGACCAAGGTTTAATATTCCGACGTGTGCTGTGGGCTAAGCTGGTGAAATCAGAAACCGAAGAAGAGTATCATTACAATTACAATGAAATTGTTGGACGGTATGCATGGTATCCTAGGCTGATACAGTATTTGAATGATACGTGGTTGATATACAAGGAGAAGTTTGTTCGAGCCTATACTCGCAATGTGTATCATTTTGGCAATACGAGCACCAACAGGTAGGGCTGTGCATGGATCGGTTTTAACCACCAACCAACCCATTTTCGACCCACAATTTGTGATGGTTAATCAACCATCAACCGACCCATTTAAGTTGGGTCGATAATGTCAACCAACCCATGTATAGTTGGGTCGATAATGGTTTCTAATATGCTAAAAAGTTGGTTAGTCGGTTAATATCGGCCAACCAACTTTATTCATTAATTTATTATTTATTAATTTTAATTAAAATATTTAATATTTTTAATTTCAAATTTCTATTTTATATCACATTTATTAAATTGTTTAATATTGACCAAAATTTTAAAAACAATAAATATAACTAAATTATCTAATTTGAACTATTTTAATTTTAAGACATATAGTCTAAATATTTGGACGATTATTATTTGTTGAACTATTTATGTTTAACTGTAATATATATGCCAGTAATGTTTTTAATCTTTTATTTCAATATAATTGAACTAGTCGCATTTAATTTATAAAAGATATAGCGTTGTAACAAGTAATAAAATATTAAAAAAAATTAAAAAATATTTAGATGGATGACCCATCAACCAAACCACCAACCAACCCATTAAATTGGTTATCAACCATCACCCAACCCATGTAAGTTGGGTCGATAACGGTTTCCAATATTTACTAAAGTTGGTTGGATGGGTTGGGTTGGTTTTATGGCTGGTTTTTAACCAAACCAACCAACGCACAGCCCTACCAACAGGTATTACATGTTTTAGTTATTTAAATGATAAAAGATATTATATAAAAATAATATTTATTTTGTAATTTGATTGTCGTTGTATGCTCTGATTGTTGTTGTAATTGGATAGGGTGGAGAGTGCTCATTCTTCAGTGAAGGGTTGGTTAAATGCTTCGACCGGAGGTCTGGATAACGTGCAAGGCAAACTTCGGGACCAAGTTTATATCCAAATTAGTGAGCTGAAGTGCGATTTTTCATTATCATCCAAGATAAGGAAGCATACTGCAGCATGGCCGTGTTTTCAGGGTTTGATCTGTTATGTTACGCATCTGGCATTAGAGAAATTGGATGAAGAGATGGAGTCCCCGGCGATGCAAGATCCGAGTATTTGCACGCACTATCTTTGGAATACTCATGGGCTCCCATGCGCGTGCAAAATTGTGCAGAAAATAGAAGATAATGACACGTTCGTCATTTCAGACTTGCATCCATTCTGGAGTACCATGGCAGTTGAGCCTTCGGAGCTACCTAAGTATCAAGTAAACCGCGAGGAGATTGTGGATAGACAGATTGATGACCTGAATTGCAATTTGAAGAAGATGAATTACACAAGTAAGATAAATGTCGTGGCCTCATTGCGTGGCATCGTTTATCCGTCTACGTCGCATCTGTCCGAGCCATCATTTGTTAAGACCAAAGGACGACCAAAGAATAACTCGACAAAGAGAGACCCTTCTGGATGGCAGTATCATATTGATGAGGAGACAATTAAGTCGTCTTGTGGTTCCAAGGGTCGCCAAACCTCATCTGGTGCAAAGATTCCTAAAACAAAGGTTGAGAGAAGCACTGATGGAACGCCTCAATCGAAGATGAAAGGTCGTGGTTCTCGTATTCCCACACAAGAATCTGCTGCCCCTACAATACCTGCACATGAAGGAATCGACTTTTATTCTTTCGTGCCCAGATTTATGGTCCGTCTTATTCAAGATTATGTTAACGTGATGGCGGATGGCAATTGTGGGTACCGGTGCGTTGCTCAAGCCGTGTACGGGGATCAAGAAAGATGGCCGCAAGTGAGAGGAGAGTTGCTTATTGAGTTATACGAGCATGCTAGTGTCTACACGGCGATGTTTGGCAGTACCGGATACGTTGAGGTCATACGCAAGTGTGACTGGACCTCAGGGCCTTGTCCACAAGCTTATTGGATGGACATGAATGAAATGGGATTGGCCATTGCTACCAGATACAGTGCATTAGTGGTACTTTTGACTCAAGTAGGGAGTATGACTTACCTTCCTATGTTTGGCAGTGGTCACTTATCATGTATGATTGTTGTGACATTGCACAACAATCATTTCATGTTTGTTAATTTGGTCGCAAATAGTCCACTACCACCAATCCATCCGGCATGGGTACACCATAGAGCTAAAAACTTGAGGCACTTACTCAAAACGTACAAACCCCGACTACTCTTGTACGAACAATTAAAGTCTGGTCGGTAGTTCAATTTGTAGTTGTATCTGAAATCTAGTTGAATTTTTATTTGTATTTGAAATTTAGATCAATTTGTAGTTGTATTTGAATTCTAGTTCAATTTGTAGTTGTATTTGAATTCTAGTTCAATTTGTATTTGTATTTGAATTTTTAGGTCAATTTTGTATTTGAAATTTAGATCAATTTGTAGTTGTATTTGAATTCTAGTTCAATTTGTATTTGTATTTGAACATTTAGGTCAATTTGAGTGTCTGAAATAAATTGGTTAATTAAAAAATAAATCAATTAGTGATTTCGTACTGAATATCACGAAATGTTACTTCATATTTCGTGGAACAATCTACGAAATATGGTCTTCCATTTCGTAGAAAACTCCACGAAATATAATGTCACATTTCGTGTAAACGTACACGAAATACACAATTTTTTCAATCTAACGGTTTCGTCCTTCGTGTTCTATAACAATAAACACTTATATTTCGTGTGAAACGACACGAAATTATTGAGTGGATTTCGTGTAATAATACACGAAATAGCGGGCGAATTTGGTTTTTTTTTTAGGAAAGTTACAAATGAAATAAATCGCACTGCAAGCCGGTAAAAAACGCACTATGAATAGCATTTCAGAAAAAAAATCATGCAAAATTGGACTAAAAATACTATATTTGCAAAATTATTGCATGTAAAGTTGAAATATGACAAGTTAGGGGACTAAATTCTTAAATAGGTTAACATGGAGGACCGAAACTACAATTTTCCGGACAAATTTCATCAAAAATAAAAAAAAAACTTGGGAGGGAAAAAGATTAGGTAAAAGACGTTTTTCAACTATACACATAAAAG